AGTCAATTGGTATCAAGTGCGCCGGTGGATGCTCTGCAAGGTTAGTTTTTAGTTTACTACACACATGGATGAGTGACTAAAACTATAAATTAGAGCTCTCAGTAAATTTTTAAATTATTATGGAATGGTACGTGCATCTGTCCCACATTTGAACTCAACAAAACATTAGGCTCCGTTAGCTTAGGTCTGATTCCATTTTCTACAATTTTATATTGTAAGTACTATCCCTGTACATACATAAATAACTGCACCTAATCTCTTGACTTCTACTATTTTTACAATGTTCTCGTATTTAACAATTCATTTAAATATAATTTTTAGCCTATTGCAAAATCCTTCATCACGCGATGTTTACGAGAAGACAAACGGTTACTACGGATATCAACTCTGTTATAGATTACATAGACAAGATATTTAACGAAGATGATGGTGTGGCTCTTTTCAAAGCTGTTGAGAAAATACATAATTACCCAAATGTAACTATCGGTGTTGAAAAACTACTAAGAGATTTCACTGATGCACTCTTCCATCCTCTGATACGTTACCATGGACATGCCCAAGAAAGAGTTCTATTAGATTCGTTAAACAAATTAATTGATAACCATATTCACGCAGCTCACGCTAAAAGGAGATTTAAATCAAACAAACTAACAGTTGCTTGGAATAATAATATGCACTTGAAAAATTACAATGCAGCGAAAACTCTAACTCATAATGTAAAAACATTTGATGCAATTAATAAGAAATTACGTAAATCCAAAGTCCAAAGCACGACAATAATGAAATTAATTAGAGATAAGCAACAAAGATATAAGAAAGTCAGAGGTACATTTGACAGTGCACAGAAACTTAACGAGAAAACAGAAATGCGTAATAATAAAGAAATCCCAACTTGGACGATTACAAAAACAACGGAACTGAAACAGCTTAATCGTAACACGACAAAGAAAATAACCATAAATAACAAGAAATCCCACCATAATAAACTTTCATTAAAGAAACATATCAAATTAAAACATCCAAAGTTGTACAAGAAGTACTACAAGAAAGACAGAAAACGCAGTAAAACCAAAAGACATAGGAAGCAAAAGAAATCCCACAAACAGTACATCAAGAATAAACTAACGAAGACAGACAAGCTTTTGTTAAAAATAAAAATAATGGAACACAAATATCAGAAGTTGCTTAAACATTTCACTGCTATTGACCACCTTAGAGGACACATGAATTCTACTAGAGTTGACAGCACTGCAACTTCTAGAACAGTCGTAACTAAATCACCAATTAACTTTCTTACTAGACCTATTCCAGCTAAAAACAAAATAATTTTTGGCAGACAACAGAAGTGGCTCCCCGTTAAATCAAAACCTAGAAACGAGGACACATTTTCTGTTCCCGTCAATCTTATGAATAAAAACAAAGTTGCCAATGACGATTCAAAGATTATGTCTAAAAAGTTTCACAATTTTAACAATCCCCTAAAAAAGAAAAAGGAAAGATTTGTCAACTCGATGAATGTAGAAGAAACAAGTTATAGCGATGATGAAGATGTACTAAAATTTAAGATCAACGATGCCATTAAACTAGAAAGACACCACTTTAATGCTAGAAGACAGGGCTCCGATACAACTACACACATAATCAATAAGCTATTAAGTTCTAGTAGTAGCGAAGAAATCCTTCTGAAATCTAAGATTTATAAAGAGCTTTTATTTAATAATACTTCTGAAAGCAACAGCGATGCAGTAATCGACATTGATGATAAGCAGAAATTTAAAGATAGCTTCAAAAGAGTTTTAGCAAGAAGAAATAACGTTCGATCGATATCGGTTTATAGCGACGATGAAGATTTGTTCAAAAAGAATTTAAACATTTAAATAAATGAAAAAGGATCCATCCACATTGGACACACTCATATTTTAAACTCAACTAATTCTAGATAGGCCGGGATTTGCCTGAGTTCCATAGACGTTGTAGTGAATTCATATTGTGGTAACGCAGTGTAAATAAATTTTATATTTAAATTTCAATTCAATCCAAAATATCTTTATTCAAATAGGAATCTTAATTCTTTTGAATCGTCCATATTTTATTGGCTTTCCACGTTAAGGACATTTTTTAGTTGTGGTGAAAAATGGACGAAAAAATCTTTACAGCGTCAAATCTTGTAACAATATTTATAAAATATTATATAGGACCGCATCAGAAATGATGTAATCCGACAGAGAACCAGAGTCACCGACATAGCCCACCGAATTAGCAAACTGAAGTGGCAGTGGGCTGGTCACATTAGCCGCAGAACTGACGGCCGATGGAGCCGTAAAGTTCTTGAGTGGAGACCGCGACTCGGTAAACGTAGTGTGGGACGCCCTGAGACAAGATGGGATGATGACATTCGTAGGCTGGCTGGAGTGGGCTGGATGAGAGTGGCAGAAAATCGGGAGCAGTGGCGTGCATTAGGGGAGACCTATGTCCAGCAGTGGACGAGCATGGGTCGATGATGATGATGATGATATAGGTAAAGCTTTATTTACAAAATTAGGTCATTTTTATCATAACTATCGAAACAGCCTGTTGTAAGTATTAGAAGTAAGTGGCGGTAGATATCAGAATTTTGGAGTATAAGTAGTATAGAGTTTAATCTTTCATTTTATAAGAAATAGATTATGTTTGTTGTTTTCCAGTAGGTGTACGTGGAAAGACACTTTGTATAAACACTTTAAATAAATTTATTGTAACACAAAAAAGGTACGGACCAAGAGTCTGTAGATTTTAAGAAATAATAAAAAAATATACTCACAATTAAAGATTATGAAAGAAAGAAAAATGTTTTTATTGCTGACAACACATAACATACACATAAAATCAAAAATACATATAACAAAAAGTAAAATAAAACGTACAAGTAAAATTAACAACAACAAAAAACAGCTACAGACAGTAATGTGTATTTTATGTGATGCCAACACTGGATATGACTCAGCATACACAGCAGGAAAAAATCCTGCTGCACTGGTATTCTGCCATACCCAGAGCAGTGACATCACAGAAAAGAAAAAGGTAAAATACAGATTTTAAGTACATTATGACTGGAGGTGCTCAATGGTTTTTCCATACAAAGTTCTCTTTTGGTGCCTTCTTGATTTTTATCACTAAAGAAATGATATTTATACATATTATAATATAATTTTACTCATAATTACTCCATATATAAATACTAGAACAATAAAACTAAAACTAAAAACCTTAAAAAATAAAATAAATAACTAAAATATATTATTAAAAGGAGTCCGTTTAGGCAAGGATCCGAAGATACTGGCAGCGTTACCCCTTTGAATGGCTAGACTAATTCTTTGTCCGAGGTAGCTGCCAGCTCTTCGGTCTCCTGTGATGTCGACTAACCTTTTTGCTATATCCTTAAATAGCCTTAAAGCGCTAGGACCCCACGGACCAAGGGTCTCGACACCGAATGGGACAATTATGTAATTAGATAGAGACTTATTTGTGTACTTATGACATTTCAATATTTTACTCATTCTATTCTCCTATGTGTGCATTATTGCGATCACTTGTGTTTTAAAAAAGAATAAAAGGACTCAAAAATGCCTAAATTAAACAATTTTTTTCCACCACTAAAGACGTCTAGTGTGAAGATTCAATAAGCATTTACAAAAGAGCAAAACGTAGAGGCCTAGTATGACTACGTATTATTCTATGGGTAAAATTTCTTTAACATATTATTATGGTGTCGGTGTCTGGCATGATTCTCTAAACTTAAAACTAAATTTAACATCAGTCTCTCCTTTTCATTGTTTATAGTTAATGACAAGGATACACTGTTGTCAAAGGACATTGCTCGTTCCCCATATATTGAATGCCCTAGAACACCCAGCAATGAGAAAATGCTAGTTGTGTTCGGAATCATTCATGAACTCTAGTTAGGCATTTGTTGAGATACGGACAACTTGAGGAACCGTGGCCTACTACAGAATGTATTAGATTTTGAGGTTATAATTATTGTACTTAATCGTAAAAGATGTGTGTACATTATATATTCTGAATAGATTTAGTGTTTATCTCTATGTAAGCACTTAAATAATATGCATTAAATGAACATAAAATGCAATTAATAATAAAAATAATAAATGCTTATATTCATATTGATTTATGAGTGTTGGCAGTTGGCACCTATGATACCTATACCCTATACCTACCTGTAGTAATAAAAGATTTCTTTTCAAATGAAATGTTCAAAGTCTTTCCATTTACATGTTTCTATATTTTACTATCGGTAATTAGGTATGTACCTGGTTATCATTATGATTTTCATAAAAATAAACAGATATTACATGGGATGGGAGTATAAACTATCTTTACATCAGAAATAATCTTTTTATAAATATAATGTAAACACTAGTAATAAGTAGTATTACCTAAGGTACCTAGTTCTATTTTTATGTTGATAAATACCTATGGTCGCCTATATTGCATTTAATAAGGCACAACTATTTAACAGAATCACCCATTTAATAATAAAATATTAACGAAGCCAATAAACTATTAAAATAAATCGTTATTATAGACTGAAACCTATTGAATCCAGTTATCAGTTGCTTTTTAATGCTGTATTTTCAATAAAAAGGAGCGCCAAGATTGTTTACCAAATAGGACAAATTGGATGAACAGACTGTAGCATCTAGTAACAGAACTTTTATTTTTTACTTTTTCAAACAGATTGTCCGTTTACTTTGTTTAATTGCTAATAAGTTAAAAAAATAATAGAAAAATAATAGTGAAGGACATTTTCGTCGATGTCCTTTAAGTTTAAGTTTAGAGAATCATGCCAGAATGGACAGCTATGTATATAAATAAATAAAATAAATAAATATTTCCGACATGCTACTGTGGTCTCTATCGCGCGGTATTTGCTAATGCACGACAGCAATAATTTTTTCAAATACCTTTTTCTCAAAGGTCGCTCAGCTCGCGTCCTCTCTTAAAAACAGGGTATGCGAATGATGAAGGAAAACAGGCAAAGAACCCAAGATACGAAAGTCTTTATTGACTATACAATTTGTCATTATTTGCCGCGTTTGTGTGCGCAGGAGTGGTCAAGCCACGCGGCCATATTCATCTCCGGGTAATCTGAGCAGGGGATGATCTCGTTACTGAAACAAATATCATCATCATCATCATCAGTCTATTAATGTCCTCACTACGGCCAATGCCGTCTAAGACCTATTGGAGGCCCTGGGCATATTTTTTTTTAAATAACTGTGTTTTTCGCAAGATAATTAGTTAGCACAAGGTTTAAACTGAGTTGATAAAATGAAAACTGGGTTTGGAAATGAATGGTGTCGTGCGAGTGACCTGCGCTTCGGCGGTCCATGGTCTAGGGCGCCGACGCGCAGGTCAGTGGCCCTTCCCCAGTTAGGTCGCCCCCAGCTATACCGTGCTGGTGGTGGACCTGAGATAGAGAGAAATAGTTAAAAGGAGAGAGCGCCCTTCTTGCCGGAGAGAGGCAAGATGGGCCAAGAGAGGAAGGAAGATGAAGAAGTCGATCAGAAGATCAGAAGGGAAAAGAAAAAGAAAATTTGAAGATATCGGGCCTAATGGCCATTACTGAATGCCCTGGGCATATTAGGATAATGGGGCCCCTATGAATTCCATTTGGTGATTTAACAGGAACTAGGGACTTTGTGACGGGGCCCCATATCGATTGCGGGGCCCTGGACTTGCCCAAAGTGCCCACTGGGAAAGACGGGTTTGACTACGGCACAGGCTTTCTCTATAGATGGTATAGGGAAATTGCGCCATGACCCACCGTGCGGGCCCATTTGGCGGATTAGTGGGTGCTAACGACTGCAGATGCAGCGGAGACCTACGATTTTCGAAGAACGCATTAACTCAAGATAGTAAATTTTTGGTCACTCATCCAAGGACCGACCACTGCGAAAGTTGCTTAACTTTAACGATCGCAGTCAATCGCGCTAACCACTTGCGTCATCGATCATATAATATAAAATGCCGAAAATCTTGTAGTACGTGTTTAAGTTCCTGTCCTTAGGAGACAGATGGATGGTTTGGAAATTGCACTGTGGTTTGAGTTCCTTAGTTTCGCTATATTTAGTTTCTTATTTGGCTAATAGATGGCATTGTAAGCTCTTGGAATCGCGGTATCGGTTGCTACAGCGCGTTTTAAGTCCCCCTCAGGTTGGAATGGTCTAGAGGCTCCAGACAGAGAGGAGACTCCCCCCGTGGGGAGATGCTATCCGTCTGGAATACCTCTAGAGGCACTCCCCAATTCAGCTTGAGGTCCACCTAGGGATGTCGAAAGTTGAATAAAATATCGATATATCGATACATCGATCTTTTAAAAAATATCAATATCGGCTTCGATATATCGCGAAAAAAACATCGATATATCGGACCAATTTTCCCAAAAATATCGTACAGTAGCTCACGAAATATGACACGCGGAATAATAATGGAACGAAAATTATCTCCCTAAAAATAGACCCTATTTTCGAATGATGACATAGACAATACTAAATACAGCACAGATCACAGATATGTTGTATATCATTAATCTGAGATCCAGTTACGATTTTTCTAGATACGAATTTAGTTAGATCGTGATATGCCGCTAATAATTAAAAAAATATCGTTTTTGACACGAATTTCGATATTAGTTATTTTGTATCATGTATCGATATATCGAATCAAAATATATCGGCAAAAAATATCGATATATCGATACATCGATATATTTTCAACAAGCCTAGGTCCACCTTACAGAAGACTACCGTAAAATAACACAATCTTTTTGTGGTGTTGTGTTTCTGTCACTGAGTAAGGTTCTAGGGCTCCACGGGGTAGGGGATTAGGTCAGGGTAGGCGCGAGTGATATTTTTGACATCACAAGCGTCTATTAGCGGTGGGTCGTTCTCAAATTTTCTGACGACGAAACGCAACCGTTTTTTCTTAAACGAAAACTAGTCCTCGAAACGGTTCTCGTAAGTAATAAAGATTACATTATTGTAAAATCAAAGCTATCATAGAACAAAACGGCCTCATATCATTGCGTTCTATTATAGACTGTATTTACTTCAGTGCAGACAATCCGAGGACTTAATTAATGAAATCAGATGGCATTTATGCATGCTTTGAGAAAAAAAAAAGTTGTTTAATAAATATTAGGTTCTTCATATTTTATAGATAATTGTTTATTTGTTAAATTCTCTTTTGTAATTTTTATCTATATTGCGATACCCTGACAGAGTTCATGTTAGGTACTTTATGCATTTTGTAACTTGTAACCATCCATGTAACCACATGACTGCAATAAATTGAATTGAATTGAATTGGACTAGTTGTTCGACGAAGACTGTTTTGATCCGAAACGTAAAACGGTTCTATCGTCGCGGAACACAAAACGGTCCTTGAAACCGGTTCGTCTTTAGAACGCTCACACCTACTTATAGGCTTTGGTGCTGCGGGCCCAAATGCTTGTTTGGCATCCTTTTAACATCATCATTAGCCATTAATGTCGCTACTGCTGGGGCACAGACCTTTCTTATGGATGGAATAGGAAGATTGAGCCATGACCCACTACGCGGGCCCATTGTAGATTGGCGAGTGCTAACGACTGCAGATGCAGCCGAACAGCTCGATGGCGCAGGTGGTCAGCGCGTTCGGCTGCGATCGTTGAAGTTAAGCAACTTTAACAGTGCTCGGTATTGGATGGGTGACCAAAAATCTTCTATCTCGAGTTATTCCGTGCTTCGGAAGGCACGTTAAGCCCTTAGTCTCTTTTAACATTAAAGATAATAAAATAATAATTACCCCGGTCGTGGCAGCTGGTAAGGGTTGGGCTGTATAGCGACCACGCTGTCTCCGTGGTCGCACATCACTTTAGCTATGGTCATTTTACGTATCTCCTGCAATTGTTCTGCGGAAAAACAAAATTTAATTAATTACAAAAGAAAATTTCGGAGATTTAAACAATATTGACTTAACTAAAGAAAAGTTTACTAGAAAACAATCCACGCGGACCAGGCAGCGGACGGGACTCGAACCCTTCGAAATCCGGGCGAATGCACTGACCATTATTCATTTGACATTGTGGGTTACCTACAATGCGAAGAGATGGCGGGCGCTGCCTTGCAGCTTAGGCTAGGAAAATTTCGACGCGGCCAATAGGGCCGTGGTAGCATAATGGTCAGTGCATTCGCCCGGATTGCGAAGGGTGCGGGTTCGAGTCCCGTCCGCTGCCTGGTCCGCGTGGATTTTTTTCTAGTAAACTTTTCTTTAGAATTAAACATCTAGCAGTTAAATGCTTAAAAATTAATAAAAACATAAATATTGACATATATAATCTTAATATATATAAATCTCATGTCACAATGTTTGTCCTCAATGGACTCCTAAACCACTGAACCGATTATAATAAAATTCGCACACCATGTGCAGTTCGATCCAACTTGAGAGATAGGATAGTTTAAATCTCAAATTATAGTCGCAATTTTAATTTATTGCAAATTATTACTTTTGGGCGGTACGAAGTTCGCCGAGTCAGCTAGTTTTTAATATGTTCGAATATTTGGTCTTGCTGGTTGTAAGGTCATTAGTTTTTCAATACTCCGTCTAGCACCATCTAGTCCGCTGTGTTGCAGGCGTCAATAACGTACGTGGTGTGAACGGTGTTCCAATATCATGCCATTTGATTTGCTTGCCACCAAGAATTTCGCAAACCAAGAATGAGTGGCCGAAGATGACTGCCGGTCATTGCAGTGCCTGCCTTGACTCAGCCCAGAAGCCGCCCAAAGATTTCTTCTCCTTTCCTCCTCTTCCTGCAGAGGAGTACTGGTGTCGCTTAAACAGAATCTGAGCTGGACATGGCAGATGCAACTATGTAGGTTTTTTATGGATAGGTCCTAAAAAATGATTCCACCCCATCTGATCTTAAGCAGCGGTGAAGTCCAGACATGCAATACATGGGGGTGAAGAGAAAATCCGATACGTGAATCTGGCATTGAAGATCAGACTGTGCAGCATATCGTGGTATGATGTCCAAAGCGTCGCTACCGAAACGATCCAAGAGAACTCTACGAAGGACTGACACCTACGGCAGCTGACGACGGCTGTGCGACCTGGATGTGGATTTACAAATTCTAGTTTTCTACAAATTAATCAAATGCCATTCGATTAATAAATAAGTATCCGCCACCTTTCAGTACAGTGACATACCTGGTGTGCAGCATCTGGTCTGCTATGATGCAGGCGTCAGTAACATACCTGGTGTGAGCGGTGTTCCAGTATCCGCCACCTTACAGTGACATACCTGGTGTGAGCGCGGCCGGGTGCGCGGAGTGCTCGTACCAGACCCGGTCGGCGCGCCGCCAGCGCAGCATCTGGTCCGCTATGATGCAGGCGTCAGTAACATACCTGGTGTGAGCGGTGTTCCAGTATCCGCCACCTTACAGTGACATACCTGGTGTGAGCGCGGCCGGGTGCGCGGAGTGCTCGTACCAGAACCGGTCGGCGCGCCGCCAGCGCAGCATCTGGTCCGCTATGATGCAGGCGTCAGTAACATACCTGGTGTGAGCGGTGTTCCAGTATCCGCCACCTTACAGTGACATACCTGGTGTGAGCGCGGCCGGGTGCGCGGAGTGCTCGTACCAGAACCGGTCGGCGCGCCGCCAGCGCAGCATCTGGTCCGCTATGATGCAGGCGTCAGTAACATACCTGGTGTGAGCGGTGTTCCAGTATCCGCCACCTTACAGTGACATACCTGGTGTGAGCGCGGCCGGGTGCGCGGAGTGCTCGTACCAGAACCGGTCGGCGCGCCGCCAGCGCAGCATCTGGTCCGCTATGATGCAGGCGTCAGTAACATACCTGGTGTGAGCGGTGTTCCAGTATCCGCCACCTTACAGTGACATACCTGGTGTGAGCGCGGCCGGGTGCGCGGAGTGCTCGTACCAGAACCGGTCGGCGCGCCGCCAGCGCAGCATCTGGTCCGCTATGATGCAGGCGTGCGTGGGGCCCACCACACCCGCGCCCATAGGCCGCTCCGCTAGCAGACCTGCCATCACTTCAACGTCATCCACGTCCTCGTAAAGCATTTGGATCGCCTCAGCTTGCTGAAACAAGACCATACCATTATAGCGAAAAAGCGATTGCTACCACTGCAAGTCTTTTGTTCAAATCGCACTAAAATCTTTTTGCTCCGGCCAGCTCTACCAAGTACCAAGGTTACTCAATACAGAATTGCAGCACTTTAGTGTAGTTTTGTAGTCTTCTGTTAAGAGTTGACACCACACAACCTTTGTAGATTCGCAGAGTCCACTTGGACATCCCAATGAGAATGCCAACCCAGCATCATCAATCAACAGCCCATCTTAGTCCACTGCTGGACATAGGCCTCTCCAATTGCACTTCACTATGATCGGTTTTGGGCTACTCGCATCCAGCTCCTGCCAGTCATCTTGCGCAAATCATCACTCCACCTTGCCTGAGGACGTCCTACACTACGTTTGCCTAGACGCGGTCTCCACTCCAGAACTCGTCTATCCTAACGGTTATCGGTTCTGCGGTAAAAATGGCCAGTCCACTGCCACTTCAACTTGCTAATCCGGTGGGATATGTAGATAAGCCGTTCTGTCAGTGTCCACGTTTCCGCTCCGTATGTCATTACAGGTAGAACGCACTGATTGAAAACTTTCGTCTTTTGGCATTGTGGATCGACTTCGATTCGATATCGATTGTAAATGCAATGTCTGCCTGAGGTACACATTTTTTTTCAACAACTTCGAGAACGGCACCGTGTACTGCAATCGGTTCCGGTAGTACATGTTCATTGAACATGACCTTGGTTTTATCCAAGTTCATCCGTAGGCCGATGCGTATAGAAAAGTCAGCCAGGTCCTTCAGCACCTGTTGTAGGTCCTGCAGGGTTTTTGCTATGATGACGATGTCGTCTGCAAATCGCAAGTAAGAAATGCGTTCGCCAACTCGCTAGGGTTTAATGTATGTAGGTAGTGGAAGGAGAATAGAAATAAATGATTCAATCAGACTTACATCCTTGGGAAGCCATTTGTAAAAGTCTTCGAAGTCGTGCGCCACCGGCAGCTTGCATAGTTCCCTGTACCGGTTGTAAGACGGCAATCCATTGTCACGTGCCTTCATGATGTCCACCGCTACCACATCAAACGCGGTCTGAAGTCTGCCAACAGCGCGCTCACCCATCTACAAGCAAATGTGAAATCGGTAACCAATCATAATTCATTCGTCATAATTTTGCCTCTGAGGCCTCTCAGGAGAAGTTCGATGATGCAAGTGGTCAACACGTTCGGCTGCGATCGTTGAAGTTAAGCAACTTTCTGTTAAAAAAAAGTCGTTCATTGGATGGGTGACCAAAAATTCACTATCTCCATCGCTTCCGTGCTTCGGCAGGCACATCAAGTCATTGATCCCAGCTGTATCTGCAGTCATTTGAACTCACTAATCCGCAATGGGCCAACGTGGTGGGTCAGGGCCCAGTCTCCCTATTCCAACCATAAGCAAGACAGGTGCCCCAAGCAGTGGGGACAGTAATAGGCTGATGATGATATATGTTTATTTATTTATTTATAAAGGTACATTAAACAGCCAAAGGCCAGCAAAAATGTACACAGCTGAATAACATAAGTAAACCTTAGTTACCAAAAAGTAAAAATAAAGAAAAAACATTGATGAAATAGTCTTCAATCTTTATAAGTGATGAATCAAAGCGGGCGAAAGGATGTTGTTTTTTCTTTGTTTATTTATTTTATTTATCTCGACTAGTGAGTTATAATCGCCACAGCCGGATTACTCAAAAAAAACTAAATTTATTATAACTTATTTAATGTTACAAGAAAAACATAAAATTATAATTATTTTAAGGAAACGAATTGACTTGATCGATGCTAGATACGAAGTGTCGGTTTCACGTAGTCACGTAGGCCAGCAGCGGCTTGCACGAGGCACTCGCATGTTGCAGCCTCAGCGATTCCGTAGTTGTTGCGAAAATCAGGTCGATCGCGTGGAAATGACGTCTATGAACTTCGTGTCAGCGATCTGCATAGAGGCGCGCGGTGTAACACCTCCCCCCTTTGATCAGCAACTATTTTAGAATGTTAAGAGAAAATGTTGCTGGTATCTTCTTTGGATGCTGGGAGGATTCAGCGTCTTCATAAGTGTGCTGCTCATTTGAAGTTGGCTCCGGCGTTGCTCTCAGTAGTCTTCGGCGTAATAGGATGATGGCAGTAATGGAGATAAGGCAGATTAGAACACTGTAGATGGGGATCGTTGTATGATAGATAATTGATTGCTGCTCTCCTTGTACAGGATCTTGTTGGTTAATGTCATCTTGCAGGTGATGCAACTTCGTCAGACTGATTGTGTTAATGTTGAGACGCCGGGGCGCGGGTTCGTTGTACTTGATTGAAATGTTAGTTATCTTTTATCTGGTTGTTCACGTTAGCTATGGTGAATTCTTCTGTTCGTAACATACAGTGGTTCGGAATTGTAACTAGGAAACTGCCGGCTAGTGTGTTATGTTCCTCACGTTCGCATATAAGCTGTACTTGAGTTGGTTCCGGTAGGACGATGATATAGTGGCTGCCATCAAGTTTTTCCATAACAGGCTTCTTCAAGTTGACGTTGATCTTCTCACAGGAGTCTATTACGGTGTGATCCTTGATGATGTTACAAATGCACTCCGGTTCTGACTTCAGCTGCAGATTTATGTTTTCTTCACAGATGTATTTGCCGCTCAGCTTCGGGCATTCAGCCTCTATGTACACGTGATTATCTCTAGTGATTGCTAGGAATGGGTAGGTAGGTAGGACAATTTCCCTGTTTTTATTTGGTACTATCGTGAGTTTGTATAAAGTATAAGTGGACGAAGATACTACTGGTACTCTAAAGGCGAAAACTATTTGATAACCATTATAATAAGAGCCTGGTTTTATAATATCGTAAAATTCTCGGGTATCTAGTTCTAATAGCTGGTTCTTATTATAAATGCTTCTAAGTTTGCTTATCATACTATTTACTATACCTAAACTTAACATAGAATGATGCATGCTTGATGCACGACAGAATGCTAACGCGTTCTCAATTCTAAGTAATTCACTTACTAAGATATCTACGTTATCGCTAATTATACCTAATGCTTGTGCGAATTTTGCAAATTTTAAAAGTGTATATTGCGTATGCATTTCTGCATCAATTAAGATATTTAGGGTTTCGTTAACTTGAATTTGGTTCCTTACAATTTTATTTATTATTTCAGTGTGTTCATTCATCCAATCTTTGCTAAGACTGATATGATGATTTTGTGCAATTATAACTCTATCTTGATTCGTCTTAAGAATTTTTAGAGCATCTTCATATTTTACAGCATCCGTGTGATCTAAGTTGCCGGTAATGCTCTTAATAACGGAACCTAAACCATCTATGAGGCCTCTCTTCGATCGATTTGGCTCTAAACTTTTTAATTGAAACGATGCTTTGTCTAATTTATTAGTGAGATGATCAATTTGGAATTCGTAAAGTGTATAGGTATAGTTGTCTAATCTATTCTTAATTTCTACTAATTGCTTATAAACTAAGTTCAAATTTTCTTCAATATCACTAAGTTCTACGTATTGAAGAAAAGTATGGTCATGAGTAGTCAAAACCATGGGTCCTAATCTAAAGGGTAGAAATCCTGGTCCGTCTTCAAGCCGCTCCAGTTTTATCTCCTGAGCCTGGGACAGGCTGAGGATTAATGTTAACAGCATCCTGTAACAATTTTGCTGATTTAGGAAGCCTCTTTAGTCTAGCTTTTGCTACAGGTCCCTTTTTCTTGGACGTGTAGATATGTATTGGCAAGTCTGCTAGAACAGAGTCTTGCGTATACCTAGGTGCAAGTTTAGAACGACTAGCGGCGGGATTGCTAACAAATATCTGTTGTTCGGGTTGATATTCTACCTCAGATTCCCGGGTTCTGTTACGATTCTCTATAATATTTGTCCTAGTAGCGAGTGAATTCTCATTTATTATTTCGTAGACGCGTTTCATCTGCTCTCTATGTGCTAATGTATACTGTTGTAAAAGGCGTTCGGTAAGATTAATGTCAGTTGGGTCTCGTGGGTCTGTATGTCCTAATATAAGGTCATAGGGTCTGCACTTTGTGAAAGTGTGTACAGAACTGTTATAGGCAATCAAAGCATATGGCATGAGGTTAATAACGGGTTGGTCCTTTTGTTCTAGTCTTAAAATTCTGAGGTGTTCTAGTAACGTGGAGTGGAATCGTTCTATATTTCCATTTGCATTTGGTGAATGTGCTAAAGTTTGATGATGAACAATCTTGTGTATTTTACCCTAAGTAAGTACGCTTGTCCGTATTTAGAAAATACATCAATAAGTGTAACATATTTCTCGTTTTGAGCTGTGAAAAGATCCATATGAATTATTTCGAATGGTTTTGTAGCGGGTGGTACAAGATTAAATTTAGGTCGAATGGGGTTCCGGTCATATTTAACCTGCCCACATATAGTACAATTATTTATGAATTTTGTTATATCGTCCTTGATTTTAGGCCAATAGAATTTTTCTGTTAGAGATAATTGACATTCGCTTATACCACGATGGTTAGTTTTACCCTCGTGATAATGTCGAATAATGTCTTGTTGTCGCAGATATTCTTTAACATTTTCGACCTCCTTCTTAGTTAAAACTAAGCTCATGGATGAGCTCTTGAATTTATCCTGTATTATGGGTATTATTTTATACATTGCGAGTGGAGGGGTTATTAATAAAGCAGTCTTGATTTTAGGGTTAACATATTCCTTAATAGCGTTAATTGTGTCCTCCTCTAAGTTCGAATCGGATAACTGTACGGATGTCCTAGTATGCGTGTCAAATGGCTTAGTCACAGTAGTCCGTTTTTTCAAGTCACCTACAATTGTTAAACACAGCTGTCTGTGGAATTTATTCAGAGGTTCGTCAGTTATAGGTATATCAAGTATAGGATCTTCGTTAGCTGTATGGGCAGTCAAAGTGTCAGAGTTGTCAATAGTTGGTGGTCTTTCGGAAGCATTAGCTATGATGGAACTTGTGTCTTCATTATAAATCTCTATGCGGGACAGGGCATCGGCGTTAGTGTTATTTTTACCCTTTTTATACATAACTGAAAAGTCATATTCGCTCAGCTTCAAACGCCATCTCGTAAGTCTTGAGTTAGGCTCTTTAAGACTCATTATCCACTGAAGCGGTTTATGATCAGTCACTATTACAAACTTTCGGCCGAAAAGGTAGGGCCGAAAATATTTCGTTGCCCATACGATAGCAAGAAGTTCTTTTTCTATCGTACTATAATTGCATTCGCTCTCATTAAGTGTACGTGAAGCGTACGCGACCGGCTTGTCAGATCCTATTGTTCCTTGTGAAAGGATAGCACCAATGGCAAAATTCGATGCATCCGTAGTCAATATGAAGTCTTTACCAAAGTCTGGATATCTCAGTATTGGGTCATTGGTCAAAAGGGTTTTGCATTTCTCAAAACTATTAACGTACTCGGAGTCAAAAGTAATCTTTTTTCCTTTCTTCAGACATACTGTCAGGGGCTTTGTGATGCGGGCGAAATCGGGAATGAATTTTCGGTAGTAACCGAGAAGTCCAAGGAATTGTTTGATTTCTTTTGGGGTTTTTGGTATAGGGTATTTCTGAATAGCCTTTATCTTTTCAGGGTTAGGTTTGATTCCTTCGCTGCTGATGACATGACCAAGATAGGCGGTCTCTAATTTGAGGAATTCTGACTTATCTAACTGAATTTTGAAATTAGACTCTCGCAGCCTCTGAAATACTTTTTCAAGATTTGTCATGTGTTCTTGTAAGGATGTGCTAAAAACGATGATGTCATCAAGATAAACTAGACAGATGACGTTCTGAAGCCCTTTTAACACATTGTCCATGACACGTTGGAATGTTGAGGGTGAATTTTTAAGTCCCATTGGCATCCTTAAAAATTCGAAGTGTCCGTGTTCGACATTAAAAGCTGTTTTAAGGAATGTCGGGGGGATTCATCTCCACCTGGTAGAAACCGGATGCAAGGTCAAGTGTGGTGAAGTACTGACACTTGCCTAATTTGTCAAGGACGTCGGAGATGTTGGGAATAGGGTACTTGTCGTCTATCGTCTTTTCGTTAAGTTTCCTAAAGTCGACGACCAAGCGCCATTTCTGTTTTCCGGAGGCATCAGCCTTTTTTGGGACAACCCAAATAGGAGAGCTCCAAGCAGATTCCGATGGTCTTATTATTCCTTGCTCGAGCATCTTTTCTATTTGACATTTAACTTCATCGCGGTGGATAAAAGGGTATCTATAGCTTTTTGTATAAACTGGAATTTCATCTGTGGTTTTGATACTGTGCTTTATCTGATTAGTGAATGTAAGGGCTTCGACTTCTAAGTAGAAGACATCTGAATACTTTGAACATAATGTTAATAAATTTTGTTTTTCCTCCTCATTGAGATGATCTGTGCGCAACCGTGAGATAACATTTTCAACGCGATTTGTAATATGTTCGGAGGTTGTGCAATCAACATTGAATACAGATGCTTGCGTAGCTTGATCTAAAGATAAAATTATATCGTTTTTAGTCGGGTTCATTACCTCAACTATACCGCGGCTGTTCTCTACAGTAGTTAGGCAGTTCACTATAATACAATTGCAAAATGTTTGTTCATCTACTATTACATCGCCATCCGGGGCGTTAATTGGTAATCTAATCAATTTAGAACTTTCAGCCGGGATAATTTCTTCGTAAAGATTTAGATTACGGGAATTGTACATATGTATGGGATTGACAGCTGATTCGGTAATCAATTGTAAATTCTTTAAGTCTAATTTGGCCTCCCATCTAGTTAATAAATCCATACCTATCAAACCATCAAAGTGATTATGAAATTTATATATAAATAATTTTATTTTTTCATCGTTATTAAATTCTGTAAAACACGGCAAAGTTACGGAATAATAGTTTCTACTAGTTGCATGAACATTGGTCACCTCGAATGGGTCGTAATCAAGAGGAATATCAGAAAAGTAACTTTCTACAGCTTCTGGACTTATAAACGACTGGTTCGCACCAGTGTCTATTAGAAGGTTCAGAGGTGGGTTTGAAATACTAATATACGGAAGCTGTCTTTGCGTTTGCAAGTTAACTTCTATCTTGAGCTTTTTGACGTACTGGCTCTCTGAAAATCCTGACTAGTTGAGGGTTGTGGTTCCTCAACAGATTTGGCGTCAAGGTCTTCAGTCGTCTGTGTCTGTTCATTATAGTCACAGGGATAGTCATAGTAATTGTTATAATCATTAGTGTCGTCACCGTAGTAATTAGGTTCATAGTCATAGTAGTTGTAGTAGTCATGGAAATCATCGTAAGTTGAGAAGTCATTAACATTAACGTCACGCATTTTAAAATAGTAGGAGGAGGATTACCCTGTTTCATCCAATTCCAACCGCTAGGTGGTAATGGTTTGGTTACAAAATGACTAACACCACTCATTGGCTTAGGGCCTTGAGACGGTGGTGGCTGATTTCTGAACGGCATTCTAAAACCTTGGTTCTGAGTGTTATAATTTGGTGGTGGTGCAGAAAACATTTGCTGGGTACGCGACGGCATCCGTGGTTGGTTCATGGGAAATCTAAAATTATTATACGTTGGTGGCGGTGGTAACGCTCGTGGCACCATAGGGTTGAAAGTGAACGGCTTTGGTATGGGCGCTGGATTAGTAGGCATACGGAAAGCAGGCAAATTATTAGGGGTCAAGGGTGCAATAAAATTAATAGGCTTATGACTAGTGTGAGGTATACCTATAGGTTGCATTGGTTTAGGCAAACCACCGTTTCTTTGTTGTAAGTACATTACGTTAAGTTCTTCTTGAACAAACTCTAGAGCCTTTTCTATCGTTTCCGGCCTCATACAACGTATACGGGACCCAAGCGGTTCCTTAAGACCTCGCACAAACGTTTGCATGGTTAATTTTTTGTATAAGTCGCGTTTTGCCTCTACTGTGGTTTGAATGTGCTCGTGTAACGTGACGTATGTCATTATAGTGCTAAATAAAGTCTGGCACTTATCGTAAAACTCCTGAGGGGAGCTATTTCCTTGACTTTGCAATGAAAGGTCGTTGTATAAGGTGGTCTCATCTCTCTGATCGGAAAAGTTATTTATAAGTACGTTACGTATCCCATGCCAGTTTTCAGGGATTCCGTTTGAGTTAATAGTCAATGCGGCAGGTCCTGTGATTTTATTAAGGATACCGCTTATTAAGGATAAATTGGCAAGTTCATTTTCCGGGCCCTCAATCACATAACTACCAACTAACTTATCGCAAACTCTAATAAATCTTGTTAATATGTGAGGGTTTCCGTCAAATTCCGGGACGAGGCGGAGGGCCTTAAAAATAGTATCCGGATCGTGTGGCATTTTTTCTAACGAGCTCACGTCCGATTCCGTATCTGAATATGGTCCTAACTCTCTATAATTATCTATTGTGATGTCCCTTCCGAACCGCTTATATAAAACAGCCTTCTGGGACCTCGAGTGCTTAGGGTGGAAAATTTTGGAAATTAGTAATAGGACTTAGGGCTAAAGGAAGCAACACTAGATATAAATTCAGAGTGTACTTACATAAACATCTCGTTCTCTCTGAGCGGATTCGATTTCTGGAATACCGGCGGCGGCGTAGTTACGTTATTCGGATCTCCGGTACAACTTAAGAGTCAATCAAAGCGCGGCGCGAACCCGATTTTGTGATCCCGAAGCTAACGCGATGACCCGGAGAATCCTACCGACTGCGCCAGTTATAATCGCCACAACCGGATTACTCAAAAAAAACTAAATTTATTATAACTTATTTAATGTTACAAGAAAAATATAAAATTATAATTATTTTAAGGAAACGAATTGACTTGATCGATGCTAGATACGAAGTGTCGGTTTCACGTAGTCACGTAGGCCAGCAGCGGCTTGCACGAGGCACTCGCATGTTGCAGCCTCAGCGATTCCGTAGTTGTTGCGAAAATCAGGTCGATCGCGTGGAAATGACGTCTATGAACTTCGTGTCAGCGATCTGCATAGAGGCGCGCGGTTTAACAAGTGCGAGCGAGACTCACCTCAGGATCAGTGACCTTGTTGGTGCTGGCGCATGGCTGCCGGAAGGTGCCCTGAGTAATCCCCTCCAGGGTGTTGTTGTTGGGCAGTGCACCCGTGTGGAGCGTCATTTCTACCGTCGGAAGCGTCCTCAATAACTTACCATTGTTATCGTATAAGCTAGAAGCATCAATACATTAAACATTTTTCAATAATATGATAAGGAATAAGTTTCTTGATGAAAACTATAAAATACGGTGCGATTTTTATTGGAATTATAATAGTAATCAGGAATGCAAATATAATGCCAGAATGGTCATCGTATGGGCGCTATTAGACGCAAGTAATACGTGTACTAACAGATACGTGTGAGCGAGGTCTTGATGCGGCTTGCGTGGCGACATAAATACAAAAAACTTCAGTCACCATTCAAGACGAGCTTTCGATACTGAGTAACTGTCTTACAGAGTATATAATATTACTAAAGTATGGTAAATTATTTTATAAACAGATAGACTTAGTATGTAATTTAAGAACAAATTGTGTGTTATTAGCAGTAAAGTGTTTGTAGATATTTGTGATTTTAAATATTAAATCCAACTCATAAGATGGTATTTTCAAAACTCACTTCAGCCTTCCCTCTTGCAAAATGTGGAACCACCTGGAAAAATCTGTGTACTCTATGCTGACGCGGGGCTCCAGACTAGGGTCGTAGTCATCCACGTGTCCATGGCCGGGGAATAACACACCATTTTTCACCAAAAAATTGTAATCTGTGGGTTTGCACAAGGGTGAACTTTGAGCCACTTTTTATTCTAAGCATATTGTAACAGGTTTTAATGTCCAATAAAAATGAAAGTAATATTATATTATTTACTAGCTGACCCAGCGAACTTCGTACCGCCATTAAAATAGGGGCAATGGTAGAAAAGAAAATTTAGGGTTGTATGTATTTTTTAATACCACATTATAAAAAAAAAATCCAAAACAAATTTTAGGTGTGTGTAACGGTAATAAAAATCGGTCAGGCCGTTTTGGGGGAGTATGGTAACTAACATTGTGAGACTAGATGTTTAAATCTAAAGAAAGAATAAAAACATATCCACTTGGCTCAGGTTTCAGACAGGATTCGAGCTCGCAGTTTCTATCACTCTAATAGCCGTGTCGAATTTCCTCTAGTATTTCTTGGCTGCAAGGGTGCACTACCTCTTCGCATTGCAGGTAATTTCAAACGAAATGCTTTTCCAAGTATTAAACATGTGAAAGAAGAAGTAGCAATTGTAGATTATTCCGTTTTTTTAATTGCATGAGAGTATACGCATCTTTACTAGTTATATTTTCTTTAGATGAAAGTAATATATTAATGAATGCAGCAATTTTCGATTTTGTATGATTTATCATACATTAATGAATTATTTTACAAAAACTTGATCGTTAAACATATATCACTAATAATACCAATCGTTCTGCCGTTTAGCTTTTCTAACTCCCTTATTAATAAACGAAGTATAAGCTTGGATTAGCTACACCATGTTTTGCCTCTGTTCATTGCATGATAATGGCACTTCAGTGACATGAACGAAACACGTTGTAATAATCAAAGCCTATTCCTCGTATATATTTTTCCAACACACACCAATGAGGGCTATCGCGTATGAATCCGCCGCCTAGAGGCGCTAGTGTAGCGTGAGGTCTCCGAAATGTCAAATGTTATTGCTTGTTGGTTGACTACGCGGGTTTATTTCTAATTAAAATAATGTTGTGAATAATTGGTAACAATTCGGCTTAATTATGGCAAATATGAGTTATGTGGCAATGAATGTCAGTATTTAAAAATTTGAGCTTAGAAAAATGATTATGTTCCCATTTTTTCCGAATAAAACGGAACTGCGCGTCACTGTGGCATGGCCTATTATGTTTAGGATATGGTTCTTTTGTGTTAAAATACGATCTAAATGTAACCTTTGATTTCATGTGCGTATTAATAAACTTTAAAAGTTACAATTTAGGACCTCACTCAACAGTGGCGCCATCTGGTGAGGCAGAAAACGGTAGCCCTCATTAGCCTAGCCCCAAAATAAGCACTGTAGGCTTGTATTATGGGATACTAGGGTAACGAATAGAATACATATACTGATATATATGAGTATATTTATATAGAAATACATATTAAACATCCATGACTGGAGTACAAATGCTCGTATTCATCACACAAACATCTGCTCCCACCGGGACTCGAACCCGGGACCTCTCGAGTCGGCGACACCTTGAAACCGGAGTATAAACCACTCGGCCAAGGAGGTCGTCAATAAATAAAAGAGTAAATGTTTTATTATTAAGAAGCTCGATGGCGCAAGTGGTTAGCGTGTTCGGCTGCGATCTTTGAAGTTAAGCAACTTTCGCAGTGGTTGGTCATTGGATGGGTGACCAAAAAATTACTATTTTGAGCTTCTCCGTGCTTTGGAAGGCACGTTAAGCCATTGGTACCGGCTGCATCTGCAGTCGTTAGCACCCACCAATCCGCACTGGGCCCGCGCGGTGGGTCATGGCCCAAACTCCCTATTCCATCTATAGGGAAGGTCTGTGTCCCAGCAGTGGGGACATTAATAGGCTGATGATGATGATGAAATGTTTTAGCGGTACAGTTTTAGTTTTACTCACCCACGACGTTAGGCATAAGATCGTAGTACATAATATGTTGCCATATGGCGATGTTGATGTCCCTGGTAACAGCGAAGAGTTTGTCATCATCCCAGCAGGGGTTCAGCTTGGCGAGTTTCTCTGCCATGTAGTTGTGCTGCCGCATGAACCAAAGGTTGAACAAGTTGGTGGACAGCAGCGAGTTGACGAACATAGAAGCTGTAGAAGAAATCAGAATGAGAATATTCGGCGATCTGTTTAGCCTGTGAAATCATCTGAGAATGTGAAATGTAAACCTTTCAATGTTACTAAATTGTCTGCTACAATATTATTTCCATACCTGCGTGGCAAAGCTTTGGTAATAACTTGCGCAAAATTTTGCGTTTTAAAACTTGAATTGTGTACGATTCTCACTTACCGTTGAAACATCGACAGCATTGAGGAGCTCGACGGCGCAGGTGGTTAGATAGTCGGACGAAAGGACAGATATAAGATGTACAGAAAGCAGAAATTGAAGTAATAATGTTCCGTTCATAGGTCACTCTTTGAAATTAACCTTTAGATATTTCTGCATCTGAGCATCGGAACCGCCTAGGTTAAAAGCGGAACGCGGAGCCATTGACAATTTCCTTTACTTAATTTAGAATTTTTGGATCTGCCAACACTGGATCAGATTACTTAAATTGAGTTTTTCATTTATTAGCTATAAGGTTCCTACTTACGACTGTTATGACACCTGGTCTCGTTCAGGTTGTTTTGCAAACAGATGGTCCCGTCCCCACGGGGCCAATCCTTCCCCTTCAGTTTCTCAGCTATGAGTCGTCCCCCCCACCTCTCCCTCCCAGAATTCATGGTCGCTTCTTCGGCCCCGTACACAATCGACAGATCTATCATGGGCGTTGTTAGGCTCATCTGCCAAATAGAACGAAATTATTTGTTTAGAATTTTGTTAGCAGGACTATGATAAAGCTTTCTATTAAGTTAATTAAAGTATTACAATTCTGCATAAGCTCCTCGTTGGGTATTAGTAATTTCCTTCTGATAATGTAATGTAAAAATCGTGTTTCAATAATGGTTCAATATAATATTGACACAACGCATTCTTAATGCGCGGATGTGAAACTTACAACAAGTATAGCTTTGAGAACGACTTTGACACAGGGCTTGTAACGGGTTTCGAAAATACCGCTAAATAAAGGTTAATACCGGTTTTTAGTAAAGGTTTCGTTCGGAGCGCGTCCGAAATGAAAGTGGTACCTAAAACCTTAATAAACCGGTTTAATCCAGAGCGACACGTGCACGCGTCGGTATCGCTTGAAATTTGTTTTGTTTGAACTAATGAAGTCACAACTTGTTAATGCTCAGAAATTGATGCATTTATTCGTCTAGTGAGTCCAGTTATTCATTTTGTAGTTGTGTACTGACACACTTCTTCACTCACTCGCTCCGTAGTTGGTAAGAAACTGACATAAATTCATTATAAATTTGAATTAAAACGGCGAAGGTGATGCCGTCAGTAACAGCGAAATAAAACCCTTTACAAACTGCTAAATTGATTCAAAACCTATTTGATTTCGCTTTTTAGGAAAACCGGTTTTTAAGGTTAAGGTAGAGCCAAACCTAAAAAAACGCTCCTAATGTATTTGATACTGATTAAGGTTTGAAAATTAACCAATAAACAAGCCCTGCTTGACATAATCTTGACAAGCCCAGCGACCATCAGATGATCTATAGGTTCGAATTATTTCAAATAGGCATTGATTACAATTCTGATGGGGCTACTCTACCAAATATCAAATCCCTTATACATCACAATTATGTTATATTCAGCACCTTAAAATGTAAACTGTAATAAATAAATGAGTTTAAAAAAAAAATAGGTATGCTCAATATACAGACTGGTGACTGTTTCTTTTTAAAAATAGTATATTTGTTAACTATAATAAATATATTAAGATGTGACTAAGCATATTATAGTAGGATGAAGGATTGTTAGATAGTGTTTATTATATCAGCATGTTTAATATGTGGAGGTTTTTAATTGGCTGTTAGAAATTATTTTCTGTTTATTTAATAATTTAATGATGTCGATTCTGGCATGATTCTCTAACCCTAAACTTAAATTTGACAATAGTGTATCTTTGTCAGTGTCTATACAGAATGAAAAGGAGAGACTGATGTTAAAATTAGCTTTAAGTTTAGAGAATCATGCCAGAATTGACACCAATGATAGCTGTAAACTTTCCTAAAATGAAATAAATAAATAAATAGATTCTTGACACAATTTTTGTTACTAAAACATAATTTAGCAAATGCTTATTAACAGTAACAAATGAATAAAGTATTATATATACATTTGTGATTTTTCTAACAAAAACTATGTCTAAAATTAAAACTACTCAATGGTGTTCCGCAAGGATCAGTTCTCGGGTCACTTATTAGTATTATTCTGAGCTCTTTGCTACATTGCATATCATGTGAACCAAGCAATTCTTTGGAGCATTTGATACCTGATTTATTGAAACGGAAAGTTCTCAATCAGTTCGTCCTGTCTGTCATGACATATGGTGCCAAGATGTGGACACTGAGAGTTGGACTAGTCCACGGATTCAAAGTCGCTCAGTGAGCTATGGAGCGAGCAATGCTCGGAGTTTCTTTGATTGATACAATCCATAATGAGGTTGTCCTGAAAAGAACTGGATCCACCGATATAGCTTCCATAATCAGTAAGTAGACTGAAGTGGCTGACCATATTTGTCGAAGGACCGATGGCCATTGGAGCAGACGAGTCCTTGAGTAGAGACTCCGTACCAGCAAGCATGGAGTAGGAAGCCCCCTAGCTAGAAGGACTACATGGTCAGACTGAATGCGGAAAGTAGAGAACCGGGTGTTGTGGTGCAAATTGGGAGAGGCCTATGTCCAGTGGACTGCGTTAGGCTGAGTTGATTATTGAAATCGACTATGTTCTTATCTTCTAATCGCAGAACCTAGCTGCTTGAATGACTTACTCTCGCCGGTGGAATTGTGTCAGGGACGCAACCTAGCCTCTGGTAGGTGATTTGGCGTGTGAGGTTCATACAGCGCACGTTGCTCCTCCTCAGATGCACGTCGTCATCAGGGATTCTGATGGGCATGCAGCGAGGATCCAGCTGTCCGCCAGGCAAGCAGCAAGTGCGTGTTACGAGGACGTAGTTCGCCGCGTCGTGGACGGAAGTCGTATCAGCTAAAACAAATTATTATTGTTGTAGAGATCGTTTGCAGTAATGTAAATTGTGGTTATTAGAAAAACAGTATATTGCGGCCAAAACTGTATTTAATTTAGATTTTTACAAACGGATGTATTTATTTTTTATCGCTTTTCAAAGTTTTACTTGTTGGTATCACAAAATAGAGCATGTATTAGTTAAATAAGGTTGTGGCACAATATCAGCGACTTCCGGTAATACGGCGGTCTAAGACTGAGTCACATTCCCTATTTGTTCCCAAAAAGTTGAAATATCAGATTTGAAGGTTTCTGTATTTGTATACGTATTTTTTGGGGCAAATAAATAAATATTTCCAACAGTCACACCAATTAGCCCCAAAGTAAGCACTATAAGGCTTGTGTTATTGGATACTAGGTGTTGGTGAGCTTGCTGGTAGTCTAAGGATAGCTTGGAAATAACGAGAAAATATCGGACATAAAAAAAGACAATGTTTTTTATTCAGAACAGAAACGTAACTAAGGTAACCATCAACAAAACGTAATATACAAAAAAATCATAGACATCAAAAATAGCATAAAAATCTCCTTAACATTCTTCCCGCCTGGGGTTTGAAGGCAGGCACACTAGTCGCTGCACACAACGACGACGAAGTGTCCCTCGTGAAGTCTTACATCAACGACTCTCACTCGGTTATCGGCACCAGGATAGACTTTTTCGATTTTCCCCCGCGGCCAATATCCTCGCTCTGTAGCGGCATCAACAACAAGAACATCGTCACCTACTTTGAGTTGGTGACCGTCGTTAGTAGAGGTCATGGTTCTCGGTGTCAAGCATGGCAAAACCTCTTTGAGCCATCTTGCCCAAAACATATCAGCTAACCTTTGGGCCACACGCCACTGTTTTCTGGAGCAAAGGTCGAGAGAATGAGATGAAATATCCGGTAAATTTGACGAAGTGCCTAACAAAAAATGAAAAGGTGTTAACGAAACGTTATCAAAAGGACTTACAGAAACATGTGTCAACGGGCGACTGTTGACTATAGCTTCTACTTCACACATTAAAGTCACGAGAGTCATCTCGAGGTGCTCTTTCTTTCATGATAACTTTTAATGCTGTCTTAACACTACGAATAAGCCTCTCCCAGGCGCCACCCATGTGAGGGCTTAGAGGTGGATTGAAGTGCCAATTTTGTACAGTTTGCAAAGTTTCAAGCTCAGCATATGCCCCACGTAAGTTTGTACCATTATCTGAATACAAATCCGTAGGCCAACCTCTCCTAGCAGCCATTCTACGCATAGCCATGATTAGACTGTCCGTAGATAATGAACAAACAATCTCAAGGTGTATTGCACGCACGGTCATACATGTAAATATAACTCCGTACCTCTTTTCACGCCTTCTTCCAACTGTTACATCGATAGGTCCAAAAAGATCAAGGCCACAATGTGAAAATGGTCGGCGACTGTGTGCAATCCGACCTGCTGGTAAATCTCCTTGTCTAGGAATCATAGGCGTAGCTTTCCTTATACGACAGAATAAACATTAAGAAGCAATACGCCTCACAGAAGGGCGCAAGCGTATAATCCAATATCGTTGCCGAAGTTCATTTATAACAGTTTCATTATTAGCATGAACAAACAATTTATGATAATGACCAATAATCAAATTAGAAACGTAATGACAGCCGTCTAAAATTACAGGCCTCTTTGTTTCAATACTGACATTCGCTGCAGCGTCTATGCGTCCCTGAATACGTATTACGCCTTCATCATCAACATAAGGAGAAAGTTTCAATAGTCTACTCTTCTTTGATAAAGGTTTATTCTCTTTAAGTTGTGCTAATTCTTCAGGAAACGACTCACTTTGACACAGCCTAAGAATCAAAACTTGAGCACGTTTTAGTTTATTAAAATCTATACTCGACTCTTTCTTCTTAAACTTCTCAACTGCTACCAATACTGCTGCGGTTACACGTAACAGTCGTGTCCATGATGAAAATCTAACAGGATTAGGGATGGACATTGACTCAGCTGTAACAATTAATGTACAAACACGGTGTACAAACAGTTCCTTTCTTAAGTTCGAGATCCTCATCGTTCACCGATGTTCTGGTGAATCTTGCGTCAGGCCACAAAGACTCTTCTTGAGATAAAAATTTAGGACCGTGAAACCATTGGTGATCGTATTGAAGGTCATGAACATCTTCTTTTGTAGCAAAGTCTGCAACATTAATCGCTGTCGGTACATATCGCCATTCTGTAGTTTTGGAATGCTCATCAATTTCTCCAAGTCGATTCGCAACAAATGGCTTATAAATACGGACGTGACTAGTGATCCATAGAAGGACTGTTGAAGAATCCGTCCAAAAGAATCGCTTATCTGGCTTTATTGTATGCTCGTGTTCTACAGCAAACACTAGCCTGCATGCGAGCACTGCACCTTGCAACTCCATGCGAGGTACGGAAACTGGTCGTAAAGGGGCGACTCGACTTTTGCTAGCTATGAAACCAACGTATATATTCATGCCAACTAGTATTCGCCAGTACGCGACAGCAGCATAAGCTTGCGTCGAGGCGTCACAAAATACGTGCAGCTCTCGCTCCACTGTAGCTCCTTTTGGAATTTGTGGTGCAGCGTTTAAGTACCACCTGGGTATGCGAAGGAATTTTAATCTCTCCACGCTTTCTAACCATTTGCGCCACTTAGAAAACTCCTTATCTTTTATTGGTTTATCCCACGCTAATCCACTTCTCCAAACATCTTGAAGAAGGATCCGGGATTTAATTGATATAGGTGCTAAAAAACCTTGTACGTCAAATACTGACATAATGACACTGAGTATTTCCCGTTTAGTTGGTCTTTTTACACATGTAAGAATTTCTTGACTTATGCGCTTGAGAGAAATATCAAAGGCTAGAACATCATCTGCTGGAAACCAGTAAAGACCTAAGATCCTCTCTCCTTCGCTTGTTCCGTCAATAATGGGTGAGTAAAAATTTACAATCTCGAGCTCCTCCGTGGTTCGGAAGGCACGCTAACCCGTGGGCCTGGCTGCATCTGCAGTCGTTAGCCCTCAATACGCACTGGACCCATCAGTCACCCATCCAATGACCGACCACTGCGAAAGTTGTTCAACTTCAATGATCGCAGCCGAACGCGCTAACCATTTGCGTCATAGAGCTCCTCTAGATATGATTCTGAGAATATGATTAGCTCAAGTTAAGCAACTATCGCAGTGGTCAGTCATTGGATGGGTGACCAAAAATCTTCTATCTCGAGTTCCTCCGTGCTTCAGAAGGCCCGGCTGCATTTGCAGCCGTTAGCACCCGCCAATCCGCACTGGGCCCGCGTGGTGGGTCTTGGCCCAATCTCCCTATTCCACCCATAGGGAAGGCCTATGCCCTAGCAGTGGGAACATTAATAGGCTGATGATGATGATGAAAATGATTAAAATATGGTAAAACCAGGAGTGGAAAACAGGTGAAGGATGCCGGCAAATGAAAAACGAGGTTCCGGCGGCAAATAAAAGTTTTGCCAGCACCCTTACCAGACTAAATAGGGACAAACTTCGCAGGATTATAGGATCCCTGACTGGTCATTGTCCCCTAAACAAACACCTCTATACAATAGGAGTTACAGACAGCCCCCTATGCAGAGGATGCATGGAGGCAGCAGAAACGCCACAGCATGTCATCATGGAATGCAGGAGTGTGGCTGACCAACGGGCACGACTTCTCCAGTCACCAGAATCGTTTCCGGAAGCTTGCAGCAGTCTACCAAGGTTGCTTTCCTTCTGGACCGATATAGGGTGGCTGGAGTAAACGGGAATGTTTTTGAGACACGCACAATGGTCCAATAATTAGGACTAAGTGCGGAAACCGCCCTGAAGAACTAACTAACTAACCAGTGAGTACTTACACGTGATAGCCGCAAACATGTTTGTCAGCAAATGCGTGTGTTTCTCGCTGGGGACTCTTCCGTCTGGTACCAGGGCAACACGGAGTGCTCTAGCATTGGGTAGCGGTGTTCCCGCCTGGAAAGAATAATATTCATTGGGTGAATCTCATCAAACTCGTAAAGCCTTTCATTCCTACACGAACAAAGCAATTAGGTGACTCATTTCTTTGTCGTACTATTCGCAAGTGGAATTCTTTGGCCGCGCACGTGTTCCCTCCTTCCTTCCTATAATCTGGGGTGGGTCCTTTAAGAGAGGCATGAAGAAGCATTTTTGCAGGCCGGCAAGGTGAGGATGGTTGGTGTGGCAGTGTATAACTGCTGTACCAACTATCTTCGCGTCTGGACTTTATCACTACTTAAGAGTCCCTTCACATTTTTTGCAAAAAATTGTGATTTTTGAGCGCCTCGTTAACCCGCTTAGAAAAGATTTTGACTTTTTCAATAGAAGAAAACTGTAGATTTATTCTTTCTATTGTAAGTTAATGTAGAACATTTGCAAATACTATTTTCCTTTTTTTGTACTGATCGTTCTACCGCAGCTAGTTTACGGAGAAAACGATAACATGCACAACTTCAAACGCCTGAATCTCTAAATAATGTTAAATAAATTAGATAAAATTAATTACTACGACATCAGAAATATGTTTTCGTTGTAACATAATGTATTAGAATTTGGATTTTCCATCTCATTAATTATCAACGAGACATCTAACCTCCGTGAGTTTTTTCAAAAAATAATGCAGGTTTACCTTTCCATTTTGATATTGAATTAAATAGAATTACTATCAAAAACTTTTATAAAACTAATGTACCATCATTGAGCTACTGAAATATGTATATATTTTTATAATTAGTTCATTTATAATTATTTTATAGGACTCGAAACATCACCCGTAAAATGCAATATTACTAGTGCAAATCTGCATACGCGTCGATCAGTACGGCAGCGGCACAATTTTGTAAAAGGGCTCTAAGATCAGGTAGGGATCATTTGCCTACCTGGCTATAAAAAAAAAACAACCCCAAAATAGTCGCGTTGTTATCGGAAAGCGATAATGCGATATTTCGTCATATTTCTATTGCGTCTTTTTTTTTGAGTGTGTATGCTGTTGGTCGCAGATGACCTTTACAGCGTCACCGGGTTTGGGGACGGCGAGATCCTAAGGTGACCTCAAGCCGAGAATTGGCGAGTGCCTCTAGAGGTATTCCAGGCGGATGGCATCTCCCCACGGGGGGAGTCTCCTCTCCGTCTGGAGACTCTAAACCACTCGAACCTGAGGGGGTCGGCTCAACTAGAGGGCGTCTCTGAGACTCGGACCTCGGCTTTAGTCAGCCGTTGTCGTGGGAGCGGCGAAACACGCCCAGGTACGTACCTGTACCTGGTATAGCGTGTCGTGTGTAGACCGGGTCTTCGCACTCTTATCCTACGGGTGCGGTGTCTGCCTAATGCTAAGCTAGTGTGCAAGTATGCTAGCTGTGTATGCAAATAATCTATTGCGTCTTCTATTATCGCAACAGCGTATAATTTCTTAGCCGTTTTCAAACATAAGGTACTTCAAATATCGCAAAAACGCATTCGATATTATGGACCAAAATTGTGTATTAATCCAGGGTGATAGCTAACTCCATACCAAATTTTATTAAAATCGCTCCAGCCGTTTAGACGTGAAGAAGTAACAAACATACACACTCACAAACTTTCAAACTTTCGCCTTTATAATAGGGGTGATGACGGGGTACAGTAAACGAAATTCTATTTTTTCTTTGGGCAATCAACCAAAAAATGACAAAGTTATAGCTCGTCAAAGTTTGGGAGTAGGGGCTCGTGACGTCACTTTTAAGTGAAAAGTGTACCAAAACGTGACGTCATGCGACTTTTCAAATTAATAAATCTCTGCAATGTTTATATTATGTGAAAAAAGAAAAAATACGTAGCCAATACTTTTTGATAACCTACCTGATAAACGAAGAAAAAATTAGTTATCATCTCTTTTAGTGTGATTACCTTTGTGGTAGGCAGTCCACCGTTTGTGGAGTAGACTGGGGGTAGCAAACGGTAAAAGGGGGTAAAACTAGTTCCTCTGGAGGGGTAGTGTACATTGTTGCAGCTGTAGTCTAAGCGCCGAGGCTCGTGCAGAGAACAGTTCTTCACTTCTACAGCGCACATTCTGAGGATGATAGGATTATTAGAATTTAAGATTAGGTGGATAAATCTTAGTAAAAAATAATGGCATTGATTTAAAGAGGCAGTCGTAAATAGCAGTTTTGGTAAGTTAAAAATTATAAAAGGCATTTTTAATAACTAGTTCAGCAGTTAAAACTAAGCAGTAAAGTAAACAAAAATGAGTAATAAAAAATAATGAAATGGATCAGTGAATATATTAATGAGCAGGAAAATAATTAAAGGGGCGGTAAAAATTATTGAACGAGCGGTTACGTGCGGGCAGTAAGTAATAAATCGGAATTTGTCGGTAAGAAATCTCATTTTAAGCAACTCTATAAACAATGAGGTGGTAAAATAAAACTAAAAAAAACAGTACTTAAATAGTAACGAAAAATTAAATTACTTTTGCTTTGACTGAAGGAATTTAATAAAACAAATTGTATAATAATAATAGGAACTTTTATTCGTAATTCGAAACATAAATACTTAAGTAATTAAAATGACATAGAAATTGCTTAGTAGCAGCTAAAATAAAGTTATTGTATAATAAGAGCAAGCCACCCTTTCCTCCTCTCTTTTCAATATATTTGAGTTCTGGTGTCACCGCTCGCTATGATCTGCCGAACTATTTATCGAACCGCTCATTCCATCATTTTTACCGCTCATTCAGTTATTGGACTGCTCAATTATTTTTAGAATTGACATTGTATGATAAAATAACCAACTAATTGTTTTTTTATTACTGTCCACGTTGTACTGTCGCA